GCGCGGGGCGGGGCTGGACGGGGTCCGCCCCTCGTCCCCCCTCCCGACTCGGGTAAACCTTCCCCCCCACTCCCCCCCACCTTAACCCTGCACCTGCCGTGGCTGAAGCAGGGCGCGCCGACCCGTGGTTACAGGCAAACGAGCGAACAGACAGACGGACATGTGGACACTGGGCCTTCCCAGAATTTAGGGTCCGACCTCGGGCGGGGGTAGAAATGAGGCAACAGTGAGCAACACACACGTATATGGTGTGTGTGTGTTGGGGGGTGGTTCTGAGCTAGACTCAGCCTGAGAGCATCCGCGGCGGGGGGGTCGGGCCAGCAGAACCTGGGAGCTTGAGGGGCCAGCGTCTGCCCAGTAAGGCTGAGCGCAGATGAGCCCAACCACAGGCTTCGCTGCGACGCCCCCTGGAGGCCACTTGGGGTGTGGCCTGGGCTACTCTGGTGGGGCGGTGTCTGGGGTCGCCTTTCCCCAGGCAAAGAGCAAGGCACAGAATATGTCTTATGGTGTACATTGAAGCTACCGGGGGTTGTCGGAGCAGTCAGTGCCAGCCTCGGTACCTGACAAGCCCTTCCACAGGCCTGAGTGGGAGGAGTTCTAGGGAGGAGGGTAGCTCTGAGCAGATGAACTTGAAGAGTCAGAGGCCAGGGTGGGGTCTTCCAGGTTGGTGACTCTGGACTCATTCTGTAGGGCCTAAAGCCTGGAGTATTCTGGGATCCGAGATACTTTGTGACTATCCATCTTCAGGGTCCTGGGCCTGCCTCTAGCCAACTAAGGGGTCAGGCAAGAGCAAGTTAGTGTGACAGAGGGTTACCTACCTCAGACCCAGACCCAGACCCATCTTCTGAACATTCAGAGCACTGGCTAAGTCTGTGAGCTGGTGAAGCATTCGTACAGGTCAGTGGTCATCTATGAGAAGAAGTCTCGCTACTATCTTGTCCGTCTTTCATGGACAGTGTCTGCCTCAATTTCCCTAGAACCACACCTGGAGACAAAGATGTAAGTGCACAGTTCATGTTAAGGAGATGAGACCCTTAAGTGCCAGTAGAGGAGTGGCAAAGAGACAGGGGAAGCAGCCAATAAAGAATGTGTCATCAAGCAAGTTATCACTCTGGGCAACCTGGACCAAACCCTGCTGGGGACTCTGGGAGCCAGTGTAGAACATGGGCCTCACATTCTTGTTCCCCGCTCAGAGCAAGGGTTGCCAAGGTTCTTTCTCAGATCTCCATCAGTCATGGGTTGAGAGCTGCTTGGGGTCATTAATTACCTAGCTCGCCTGACTTCTGGCCTGCCCAGAGTATGGGCAGAGCCTTGTCCATGACCAGAAAGAGAATTCAGCCCCTTTCAGGAGCTGGCAGTTGAAGTTGGAGGGCTTGTATGGAAATGGTGGTGCCAAGGCTGGTTCCAGATCCTGGTTTAGAAGGCTTCCATCCTCCCACTCCGCTCTGCCCCAGTCTTACTTTTCACTGAGGGCACTGGTTACTTCCCCCTCCGGGTGTTCACACTGCCCTACAGATCCACTCACATTTCCCACTATTCCCTTTTCAGGTTCCTTCCCCTCCTCTCCTTTCTAACAATTAAACACTCAAAAGCCTCCTACCTTTAGATACCTCCCAGCTCCCCAATTCCCTCGTCTCTTCTTCCTCCCCTCCAGTCAAACTCTGAAAGCCATCTTCTCTTTCTACTGCCTTGATATCTGCCACCTTATGTCTGCTGTCACTGCTCCCTCAAAACTGCTCTTGCAGAAGTCACCATGGAACACCAGAGAGCTAAAACTAGGGGGTCCCTGTGGTTTTGTCTTAACTGAAATGTTGTGGCATCTTCAAAGTTTTACCCTTGTGACTTCTGCTTCCTCCTGCTGATATCTTGCCTCTCTCTGAGTCTTTTATAGGCCTTGCTTTCTTTCCTCCCCCAAGAAGTGGATCCTCAAGATCTGGCCCTGGCTTTTCCCCTTGGCACACAGACTCCCCCCTGGGTGGTCTCTCCTGGGCCACTGGCCTCAGTCACATCTAGATCTCCACAAGATCTCTCTGCTCAGGTGGATACAGGTCTAGAGTCCACCACTCAGGGCTATAAAATATGCCAAAGGGAGAGCAAGGATTGGATCTTGGGATGACGCTGTGCTCTCTCCCAACCTCATCCTGTCTGATCCCAGTTACACCTATAGGGTCACCATCCACCAAAGTCCAAGTTAAGTTAGACTCTGATGAATGCTCCCAGAGAGTCCCATCTGGGCCATACTGGGCACCCAGAGGCAGAAGGATCAGCCTCTCCTCAGGGAGCTAGGTACCTCATGACCCTTACCCCTAACCTCTATCATCCCCGCTGTGTCTGGAAAGGACAGAGCCCAGGGATGAACCTACCCATCGTGGTCTCCCATTTTGCACTGATCTCTTGGCTGGACACCAACCAGAGAGGGATCCCTTTTTAAGAACACACCTAGGTCATGCCATTCCTGGAAGCTTTCGTGGAAGTGGCTTCTGTTTACACAGCCCTGGTCCCACCTGCATACACAGGCCAACACTGCTGGCTTTGGAGAAGTTGTGGAAGACAACTGGGGCAGAAGCTGAGGCTGAATTGGTCCTGAGAGTGAACAGCTAATCCTCAACCATGGATGGGCAGAGACAGGGCTCACCCACAGATGGGGACTGAGAGTGCTAAGGTGGGACTTTCTGATTATACCTCCTGAAACTCTGGCCCTTGGGACGCTAACTTTCCCTTCTTTCTACCAGGACAGAAGGCTGGAAGCACTGACCCCAGAGGAACAGGAGAATTTGCATTTCTTGCTAGACACTTTGGCTACATTTCAAGGCACTAAGGACCCCACCATCAGTGCTGAGGCCCTAGGAAGCTCACGGGAACCAGATGAGGCCTAGGGTTGGTGTTTCTCTTTAGGGGTGCCCAGACCACTCCAATAGGCAGAAAAATGTAGAGCAGCCTGAGTCCCCTGAAGTCAGATGGGGAGGGAGAAGAGTTATTAACCAGTCCCCAAGTGAAGCATTCAGCCACCCTCTCATGATTGTCCATAGTCTTCCACCTGCCCCCAGCTACCAAATTTAGCACCACTGTACATGTCAGAGTCCAAGAGTTGTAGCAGTATTTCTGCTTCTTAGCTTAGGCTCTGACCCAAGTGCAAATGACCCCACTATCTTATCTATGAAACAACGGATCCCATGCTGCCTCCCAACCTAGATTTGAGGTTACCTGACCCAGAAAGGCCTTTGGTCAGAGCAGTGGTGACCTTTCCGACCCCTCAGACTCCTAGGGTTAACTTTGACCTATGTCTTTTCACCTGGTGTTGTTTGGGCAGTGGACCCTGTAACCACCACTCATCTGTTGGCCCCAGGATACAGGTGGAAAGACTTGAGGTCCCAGTCTCCTAGGCAAAAGGACAGAGATTTGGGGTAGAGTTAAGTGCGGAGGCAAGATTTTCCTGTCATAGAGGCTGATGGAGCTGAGACTGGGCCAGGGTCCTCCCACCACACCCATGGATATGCTGCTGGGCGTACACTCAGGCCCACACTGGAATGCTGGGACTCTCAGATTGGACATGCCCAGCTTTGGGCTTGTGTGCAGCACATGTGTGCACACCAGCCTTTTATGCCACTTGCCGTGGACTCCATTCTCAGGAAGAGAGGAGGGCCTACTGCCCTCAGAAGAGGGAACCCTGCTGCAAAACAAAGAGGCTCCCCTGAGGCACTCCCAGGCAGGGGGAAACACCTCTTTTGCCTTCTGGTCAGGTGCCTGGGACAGAGGCAGGCCTTGTCAGTGGCTGCGGGAGGTCCAGAGGGTGGAGGATGGCTGGCATCTTGCCGGGAGTCCTTCCCAGATGTTGCTGCACCACCAGGCTCCTGGATGACAGTTGGGCCTCTAATACAGTCCTGGTGAGGGTTCCAGTGCAGTCCTGCCCGGGCCGTGTCCGAGAGCACTTTTGCTCCTCAGACTCCAGTACAGGCCCGGATGGGTTTAGAACGGTGGCCGCGGCTACTCCTCCAGGAAGCCCGCCCTGATACCCACCTGTCCCGCCCCTAGACTTTGGGGGAAACAAGGTCTCGGGGATGAAGGGTCACCAGGGCGGGCCAGGTCCCGGAAGCGGAAGCGCAGCGCACTTCCGGTGCGCAGCGGGCGGCCATGTTGAAGCAGCGGAGGCGGCGCAGAGGCGCGTCCTGGGTCCCCGCGGCGGCGCCGGTAGGTTGGGGCCGTGGGCCTAGCCGCGCCGCGGAGGGGCTGTCCGCGAGGTGGCAGGGTGGATGGGCCGCGCGGCCGGCTCTCCCCCGGCGCAGCCGAGACTCTCACCCCACCCCCACCCCGTGCCCAGCGACCCCACCCTGGGGCTGCGCGACCCTTCGGGCTCGCCCCGCGGTCCCGCGCATCTCGCTGCCTCTGAGACCCCCGCTCCTACCCGCGGCTCGGGCCCCAGAGACGCAGACTCCTAGCCCGAGGGCTCTGATCTACCCCCGCCCGGGGTCCGCTTGGAACGGCCTTTCCCGTCCCCCATCTTTCATCAACTTCCCCTGCCGCCCCCTGGGGCACATATGAAGGGAATTCCGTGGCCGGGCTGCGGCCTCTATTTCCGGAGCTTCTTGGAAAGCCCAGAAGACCCCTCCTAAGGGTCCAGACCGACCTGGGCGGAAGAGTACCCTGTTCATCCCTAATATCTTTGTCTGGTGTCTGAACCCCTCCCTGTTTTACAGTTCACATCCTTGGGAACTACACTCCCTGGAAAAAATGAAATAAAATAAAGCCACGTGCAAGGATCGTGCTTTGAGAATGGCCTCTGGCGAGGGAAATGCCCCAGACACCTGAGGATCCGGGAATGTTTCCAAACAAAGAGCCCCAGGGCATGCCCTCCTGGGGATTCTGAGAACTTTCTGTGCTCCATTAGGGCTGTTAAGAAGAAGCTGCACAGACACACCTCCTGGCCCCAGGGACTTGCCTGATCCCAACTGATCTTTTAATGCTGCCTTGCAGATGGGGAGCTGCCTCTGGGGGCCCTCAGTGCTGGGTTGGGGCGTTAGATATTAGTCATGATTGACAGCCTACAGCTTCTCTAGAAAAGCTTGGGTGTTCCTAGACAGCTCCATCTGGACTGTACCAAGGGCTGCAGCCCTCCAAGCCTTAGTTAGGACAGCTCACATTTCTACTGTCCACCGTATTAACTATCCTGCTTGGAGCCATTGAATCCCACTGTTACATATTGGGCTCTTGGTCTGGCTGCCTGGCCCCCAGGCTACCTGATTTCCTAGAGCTACAGTACGTGCTACTTATCCTTTTAGTTTCTGTTGAGGGAGAGTCTCGTGGGTTTCCATAACTTTAGTGTGCCTGGCCCCCAGGCTACCTGATTTCCTAGAGCTACGTCATTAGTACGTGCTACTTATCTTTTTAATTTCTGTTGAAGGAGAGTCTCATGGGTCTCCATAACTTTAGTGCTAGGAATTGGACCTTCAGGCGCCTTTCTGGGCTCCAGCAGCCTTTCTGGGAACTCTGAAAGCAGAACATCTGGGTGGCAGGGAGATTCACCCCTGGGCAGCAGCAGCTGGAGGAACAGAGAGGGGACGGATATTGGGTGTAAGTCTGGACTCTGTGGCAAGAATTCAGGAACATTCAAGGCTTGCGTTGCTCTGCTTTCGCTTGTTTTTCCAGCTAAATTTCCCAGCTCTGACCACAGACTCCAGTCACACCAAGTGTGCCTTACTCTGTTTCACTTAGGAGCCATTGCATAAGGTCTTCCCCTTTTCCATTTCCATCTGGTCCTTTCCTGTTCATCACTCGTCCCAGCTAGGTGTTGCCTCTCCCAGGAATCTTTTCCTGGCTCATTGGCGAGCTGAGCTGGGTGCCAGTGTGTACCCCCAAGAACATCCTGCCTTTGGTACAGGGGTCCTTGAGGACAGAGATAGTCTCCTGTGTTCTCAGGGTTGAGTCTGATACTAGGTTTCTGGCCTCAAAATATAGAATCGAATTAAAATAGGCTGGTCAAGCCCAGATCTTTGCAGGGACCCGACAGTGTGTTGGATGGCTCCAATAAGCTTGAGGACATGTACCCGGAAGATGCTGCCTCTGACCCACGTGGGTCCTCTCCCACTCTCCAACCCCTGCCATGGTAGGTCAGAACCACATTTCGCTTCAAGGAGTGGCTCGCTCTGGCCAGGACCCTGTTATAGAAAGTGCAAGCCCTGACTGATCTTTCTACCTACTCTTGCCCCTTATCTTGATGCCATTCTTATTGACTCTTTTCCTCTTGCCTTGGAGGTGCCGAGTGCTGGTTTGCAGATACGCAGGCAGATCTGCAGTGTCTAATGCCATGAGTGTGGTGGTGCACCATGTGGAGGAGAAAGCTGTACACTCTTGGTCACGGATCTCCACAGCAGGGAAGAAGGCCCTGGAGGAGGCGCTACTTGTCTTTAACCCAATGAGCCAGGATCTCAGTGCCACAGAGGCCCAGCTTGTGGCCTTCCTGCAGGGCCTGCGGGATGATGGCTTCCAGCCCACCATCCTGCGCAGTGGTGATGTCTACGGCTATAGTTCATGCACAGCCAGCCCCCCAAGCCAGACAAAGCTGCAAGCTCGTGCCCCCACCCCAGCTACCACATCACCTCCATCCAATGTTCCCCGAACTGCCATGCGGCTGCCTGCAGGTCGGGCCACACTGCTTCCCATGGCACTCTCTGGCAGGCTGGCCAAAGCATCCACACCAGCCCTCACCAAGCATGCTACCACCAACCTGCTACTGAGCTCCCTGAAGCAGTCAAGTGCCAGCCGTGCCCGGGGTGCGGCAGTGGGCTTCCCCACCCACCTCTATCCAGGTGTCTACCCTGCCATGCGGCTCTCCGTTGTCCTTGAGGCCCTGGTTCCACTCAAGACTTCCATGCCCTGCTTGGGTGCCAAGCACAAGACACAGTCACTGCAGCTCTCTCTTGCGGACTCGCCCCTGAAGCTGCGGAAAGGTCCAGGGAAAGGGATGGGAAACCCCCAGCCCAAAAGTCCTAGAAAAGCCACAAGCAAGGGCCCCAAGTGTCTGACTCGCAGAGGACCCAGGGCTGGACCCCGACAAAGCAGTGGGCCTCAGAGCAAGACCTGCAAAGCCACTGGGTCCTTCAGTGGCCCACGAGGGAAAGGTGTTTCTGCCCCGGGCACCAAAAAAGCCCAGGCTAAGGTGGCTCAAACACAGGTCAAAGCTGGCAAGGCCCGGCCAAAAGCCAAGGCTGCACAAGCCAAGGCCAAGGCTGCACAGATCAAGGCCAAAGCCAAGGCAGTGCGAACCAAGGCCAAGGCCAAAGCAACGCAGGCCAAGGCCAAAGCAGCGCAGGCCAAGGCCAAGGCAGCTCGGACCCAGCCCAGGGGCAGGGGCAGGCCGAAAGGGTCTGTTCAGGCCAGGACTGCAAGGAGGGGCCAGAAAAGCCGCCCTGAGACTGTGGGGCAGAAGAGGAAAAGGGCTGAGGAGGCAAAGGATCTTCCTCCCCAGAAGAGAACACGGCTTGGGCCCCGATCCCCTAAGGCATGGCTAGGGCCTGGACCAGCAAAGCTACTGAAATTCCGGGCCATCAAGGTGGACAGGTGGTCCTCGGATGATGAGGTGCGGCAGCGGGCTCAGCAGATCCTCCGTGTGAACCTGTCCCCTGTAATACGGCTCCAGCCATTGCTGCCATACTCAGTGATTCCTTCACATGGCAGTGTTTGGGGAAACTGAGCCCATCTGTCTGTTGTCAGTGGCACAGTGTGCAATGCCTATGGACTCCACAACCCTGAGGACTCTGGGTGCCTCTCTAGGGCCTGGCAGCCACCAGCCTCCTTTCAAAGACTGGAGGATGTGGGGTGGGGTGGGCGGATGGGAGGGGTGTTCTCATGGCGCAATGCACTGTGATTTGTTACTCTTTGAGTTGTATGTCCACTGTTCCATCTATCACGTTTTATACCTTTCCACCTTTCAGTGTCCCTGCCCACCCTCCATGGTCTTTTTGTGTGTGTGTGTGGCTTCGGTAGGCCAGCTTGAACATACAGGAACAGGGCTGCCAGAGAAGGTCCTGGTAGCTGGGGGCAGGTCACCAATATGAGTGATGGGATGGTGTGGGAAGGGGCAGCTTCCAGGCCCCTCTGGAGATGCTGGCTCTGTGGATGTGTAGGGGCAGTCCCTGGGGGTAGAGGGCAGAGCGACTCAGGTGGGACACCTCCCTTGGGGCTGCCTGGTTTGTTACCCATGCAGGAGGACAGTAGGTGGCTGCACCTGGAAGGTTTTTAGGCCAGAGAAGGGGTTTTGTTCTCAGGGGCAGTGCAGACAGCCTGGCCTTGTCTTCCAGCCTGCTCTGGCTGAAACCTTGGGGCTTTGCCTGGGTGTGTCTGAGGCAGGGCCAGGCCTCGACTTCCCCAGTTGGTGGCAAGGGGTTGGGGCTTGGGTTGTAGGGCCAGAGTCTTCTCTCACTGACCAAGGAATTTCCTGCTTGGGTGGGTGGGTTACTGTGGTAGCTGAGCCAGGAGGGTTTGCAGACTCCCTCCATCAGCAGCGCTTTCCGCCTGGGTTCCATGTGCTGTCTCTTCCCAGGTCCAGCCTCCTCATGCCTATGGAAGGTTTTTAGGCCAGAGAAGTGGTTTTGTTCTCAGGGGCAGTGCAGACAGCCTGGCCTTGTCTTCCAGCCTGCTCTGGCTGAAACCTTGGGGCTTTGCCTGGGTGTGTCTGAGGCAGGGCCAGGCCTCGACTTCCCCAGTTGGTGGCAAGGGGTTGGGGCTTGGGTTGTAGGGCCAGAGTCTTCTCTCACTGACCAAGGAATTTCCTGCTTGGGTGGGTGGGTTACTGTGGTAGCTGAGCCAGGAGGGTTTGCAGACTCCCTCCATCAGCAGCGCTTTCCGCCTGGGTTCCATGTGCTGTCTCTTCCCAGGTCCAGCCTCCTCATGCCTAGCAATAGGGGCCTGTATTTTTTACACATTATCAGGTCTTGCTTTAGAGAGGGGCTGGGCTTTGAGCCCTGAACAAAACTAGTCCCGTCCATCTGCCAGCCCTTGTGCTGGCTGCCCAGCCTAAAAGGCAGTGGCTGGAGTTGGCAGGGAGGGGGACGCATTTCCCAGAGGCTTCTGGAGACACAGCCTTTCAGGGCTAGGGGTGGGAACCTCATTTGAATGAGAATCGCATCTTTTCTGTCTCTGAGTTAGTCTGAACCCCAGCCCCACCAGCCCCGGCTGCTGAGTCAGATGGCGGACCTGCAGAGAAGCTCCGCTGCTGCATGCTCCTTGGTGCCTCCTCCCCACCTTCTGCATCTGGTGGCTGTTAATATCCTTTCCCTGAGCGCAGCCTCCTCTGGTTTTCCTGGCTCTGGAGACCCCCTTGCTCTCAGCTGCGTGGTGGCCCCAAGATCCTGCATGCGCCTTGCCTCTAGCAGCCCCGCTTTCACCTACCATGAGAGTGTGGGGGACCTACCATGAGAGTGTGGGGGATGACCTGAGGGCCGTGTGCAGCTCCTCAGGTGTGTCCTAGCGAGGGGCCCACTGCATTCTCTTTTTCAGGCCTGATTCCAGCTCCCCCTGCACAGGACCCTCAGTTGGGCTAGGCCCCATCCTTGCAGTGCTACTGCTGCTGTCACCACCAATGGGTGAGAGGTCAGCTCTCTTCCCCAAGAGCTATCGGAGGGGAGAAAAAATTTCTAGGCTTCCCTATGGGGTGGTGTGAGGTGGGAGGAGCTTACCCGTAAGCTCTCTACTCAGACCCCGCCCCTCCCAGTCCAGGCTCCCATAACAATTGTCCGGGATGTGCCAGATACACTGCCCCCACCCGGCTGCTCAAGCTGCAGCTGCTACCCACCCACTGGCAACCTGATTGTTGGCCGCGGCTGGGGCCTTCAACCTCATCCACCTGTGGGCTCCATGGCCCCGAGCCCTACTGCATTTTCAGCCACCTACAGGTGGGGAGGAGGGTGAGGACAATGGACAGGATGTGTTTGGGTTTTCCTGGGTGGGTCGGCTCTGGGAGTTCAGGTCTGCCAGGGACTAGAGCAAGAGGCGAGTGCTGTGACGTTTGGAGTGGAGGCGCCAACCGGGCACCTTCCGCCTGACCCACTTCCTTGGGTACTCCCCCAGGACTCTGAGAATTGCTTCTTTTGTGACTCTCGGGGGAGGGGAGGCCATGGCATTGAGAATGTGATCTCCCGGAATGGTCCTGGTGGCAAGCAGAGAGTGGTGAGGGTGCCGGCGCGTGGGTCTGGGGTCTAGGGTCAGGGCCTAGTCACTCTGACCAGCCCCTGTGGTTACAGGTGTTGAGAATGTCACCCTCCAGCTAGACCTAGAGTGTGCCTTCTCCTTTACCCAACTCATCCTGACTTTCAAGGTGACTACCAGTACCCCAGCCTGAAGGCTGGCTCTGTGCCCCCTGACCTGTTGGCCACCAGGGATGCTTGCCCCTGGTGACCCAAGGACCCTCTCCTGTCCTCAGACATTCCGCCCAGCAGCTCTGCTCCTTGAGCACTCAGTGGACCATGGCCACTCCTGGCACGTGGACCAATACTTTGCTCACAACTGCTCAGGCCTCTTTCCTGGGATCCCTCCTGCCTCGGCCACAGTGTCTGATGCCGTCTGTGACCAGCATTACTCAGATATGGAGCCTTCCACTGAGGGCAAGGTTAGGCCAGAGGAAGTGGGGGTGGGCCTTGGGGCAAAGCCAGAGGCTCAGGCTTGCTTCTTCCAATCAGATAATTTTCAAAGTTCTGGACCCAGCCGTTCCTGTGGAGAACCCAAACAACCCCAAGATTCAGGGTAATCATTCCCACAGCCAATCCTGTCCTCCCTGCGTGTCAGGACAGCCAGATGCCAGGGGATGGGGAGGCCCTGCCTGGTGTGTGTACCAGAGGCAGGGTGGCAGGCAAGCCAGCTCAGTCCCCTTGCATTGTTCCCCCGCTCTGCCCCATCCCAGAACTCCTTTGTAGGGTCCCGTTGTGGTCCCCATCACTGTCTCCCATGTCTCTGCCCCTATCACTGTACTTCATAACTCCCCTTTGTGAGCCTTTGTCACCATCCTTATCACTGCCCCATCATGGTCCCCCTTGTCATTGTCCCCCTTGATTCATCATCTTGGCCTTAGTTGATGCCCTACATCCCTGCAGAAGCCTCTAGGTGGCACCAAGGTGTCTCTGGGTGTGACCTCTTCCTTGTAAAACAGAAGTCTTGTTAAAGGACAGGAAAGACACAACCATAATCTAATAGGGCAGCCCAGAGCCAGGCTAGGTGAGTACCACAGCAGGAAGACAAACCCCAAACTAATTTTTTTCTTTCCACTCTCCATCACCTTGACTGTGGTTATTACCAGCTACTCACCTGGAACCCCCACACTAGGTCCCCAAGCAGCTGTTGCTGGTTCTTTTGATCAGGAGAGAGGAGAAACCTGGCAGAGGAGAGAGACAGGAAGTAGCTTTGGCCTGGTAACTGACATAAGCTGTGAAGCAGAAAGAGGAGCCATGGATCCATCTTTCGGTCCATGTGTACATTTAACAAGTGCCCGTTGAACCCCGCTGTGTGCCAGGCATCTTCTAAACTGCTCAGTGGGGAGCAGACAAATAAGGTTGCTGTCTTCTTGGAGCTGACATAAAAGTGAGACAGTTGACAAATAAGCAAACAAACTAGTACCTCATGTGGTTTGGATGATACTGATTTCTAGTATGGGTGACGGGCTGGGAAATGGAATCCTTTACTGCACTGGGGAAGCAGGTTTCAAATATCTAGAGATGCCAGAAGCGGGTGTCCTGGAAGCAGTGGGCTGTGTAGGTCTCAACTCAGTGATATCAGGGCTAGAGCAGTGCAGGGGTGGAATTACCACCATTAGGCTGTGGTCATCCTAAAATAATATGTCCAGGGGATCTGGGATGGGAGTCCCACAGCAGGGGTACTGGAGGAAGTGATGCAATGATGGGGAGAGACCGCGCCATAGAGGAATGATGACCAGTGCACCTGAGGTCTCACCATCTGTGTCTCCAGAGTTTCTGCATGTGACTAATATCCATGTGAACGCCAAACTGCACACACTGGGTGACAGGCCCCCAGGGGGCCTCAAGGGACACCCCTTCTACTACTATGCCCTCTATGAGCTCGTGGCCCGTGGCAGCTACCTGTGCCATGGCCATGGCTCTGAGTGCAGGCCTGCACCTGGGGCCATAGCCAATGCGAAAGTCATGGTGAGTGCCATGGAGGGGCGTCCTGTGGCTGCTTGGGTGGACAAGCTGGGGCACTGAGGCAGACTCATCTTGCCCTCTTTCCTGCCAGATGCATGGCCTTTGTGTCCGCCATCACTGCACAACTCACTGTGAGCACTGCCAAGATCTGTACCAGGACGATCCATGGCGTGCAGCAGAGCTTGGGCATCCCCATGCCTGCCAGGGTAGGTGCCACACCCTGCTCTACCAGTCCGTACTTGCCATGGCTTAGCCCACTCCATATCCACCTTCCTTGTTCTGCCATGGGCATGCCCGCAGTTGTCACTTTGACATGGCCCTGTATCTGGCATCTGGCAATGCGAGTGGAGGCATGTGCGATGCATGTCAGCACAACACAGCTGGGTGCCATTGTGAGCTCTGCCAACCCTTCTTCCACCGAGATCCCCCAGGAAGATCCCCGTTCCCTTTATTCCTGCAAACGTGAGCCCTCCAATCCCAGCCCTGACCCCACCGATCCTTCTACTCCGTGGCAACTTGACCTAACTCTGTCCTCACTCTGACCTCTGATCCAGCCTGTGACTGTGACCTTGTGGGTACCCTGGGAGGGGGTTTGTGTGATACCCACAAAGATGAGACCTGTGGCCTCCTCTCTGGGCAGTGTCACTGCAAAGTAAATGTCTGGGGTCAGCGCTGTGACTCCTGCCGGCCCAATCACTATGGCCTGAGCCTTACGCAGTCAGAGGGCTGCCAGTATGAGTGACTCTCAGAGTGGACCCCTCCTCCCCTGTCTCCTTACTCGGCC